ACTGAATTCTATAAAATACTATACGCGTGCTGTACGTATATTCCTTTGTTGTTGCGCTCTTTTTGTAATTGTTATGCGGAATGATAATTTCGCGGTTGCAAATTAATTAATTTCGTATCGTACGTAAAAAAAGAGAAACGTGCATTGCACGTATGTTGCTTCGTTATCATTCTTTTCTTTTAATTATTACGCAGAATGATGATTTTTCAATTGAAAATAACTAATATTGTATTGCGTGTAAATGCATATAATGATGGACGAGATGTAAGCAAAGAACTCTGTATTGTTTCGTATAATGATGATCGTACAGAGCACTGGCGCCATTCGCGAAGCACCTGATCATACAGGATGATTGCAGCAACCGAATTAACACAGCTTTGCTCCAAGCAACGTCGGACAAAGATTCTGCAAGAACGTTTGTGTTCGACGCTTTTAATTCGATTTCAAAAATCGTGCGATTTACTTCTTATTATCTCGTGCAAATGTCACGCTTCCTCGAATCTTTCACGCATTTTTTGCAATGTATCATCTCGTACTAACCGATTGCTCGCTGCTGGATCGGCGTTCCTCTTGTTCATACAGCTGACCGCTGCATAGAACGAATTAACAAATTGTAGCACCATGTACCTGACTCTGCTCTAGCTCCCTAAGGTCCATTAATCTCACGCCATTACGGTCTGCTAATCTCACACGCAATCTTCCGGTGCTCAAAGCATGTAAACTTTAGCTTCTGACCGATCGCACGATCTCACCGTGTCTGCTAACTATATCTCTACGAGTTCGTATGAGAGCGTCTGAACGAAGAGACGACGGAGCAGCGCGCACGCGTTTCACGCCGGTCAACGTGAGCCACCCACTTTGCCACCCACTTGGCCACCCTATCCCGTTCCATTCTCTAGGTCAGGAGGATGAATGAGTCGAGTGAAGCACCCTCTAGGGATGTCACCAGCTTTCCAATCCCTCCGACGCCCCTTCCCAAGCGGCCGTGGTGCAGACTACTCGCGCTCTACCCCCTTCCGCAAGGTTAAAAATAGCCGGATCCGCTGACGTCATCGATCTGTCGTCGCCGGACCAAACTATTCCGACCAACTCGTCCCTGGGAAAGTGGCGACCCGACGCCACTAGAACGGCTCGTAGCTAGCGATGGGATCAAGTTCAATACGTGTTCAATTATAAATCGAAATCCAATACTATCAGCCGCAGTTCGTACAGTTCTCATAGTTCTCATAGAATTTTTGAACGGCGCTTGTAAGGTTCAGTAAGATTATTTGAGTCGCCGGTTGAAAATATTAAAATGCGATCTGAAAGTTCACGCAGGAAGGTGAATTTCTTGTACATTGCGAACAAAACTTCTCGTATCTCTTCTTGATTTTCTTCGATATCCAATCGAAACCAGTTTCAAAATCTCATCAACGCTACATGGAGGTACGCTGTTTTTTCCACGAAAAGTATTCGAATTCGAAATAGTTTCGCGAGCCATTCAGCTTGAACCTATCGCTGCTCATCGCGTTAATAACAGGTGCAGCGCAGGAGTTTTGCGAGCGTCGCGTCTCGCCAACCTCGCCGTATTCGATCAATCGCGCCGATGAGGTTTTTCCACATGGACAGCAGACGTTCGTTTGATTCACTGGAATTCTCATCGCTGCGAAATTAAGCGGTCGGACGGGTCGCGTTCCTGCGGATGTTTCACCAGAACGCTTCTGCTGGCTGATAATTTCGCGGGGTTTAACCCTGTTAAGTAATCCCACTCATTTCCGTGCCAATCGTATTTTGCTGTCATTAAGCTCTTAATCAGGGAAGATGAATCGCCTCGCCGTTCGTATTACCAATTCCTTCGACACAGTGATCTCTTCGTTGCATTCCTGTTAAAAAAGATAAATTACGTATGTTATATCGATACTACTTGCAAGTACTAGAATCGACCTGATTGAAATTAGTTTATTCTAACACCTTATATTCGAGAGATGTACGACTGACTATAACGCTCATCAAATACACCGCAGGGTACTCGTATTGACTGTTAAACACACTATGACATTCTCGTACAAATTAATACTAGTTGTCTGTCTACTTTTTTCTCGGTAGTTTTGAATATTTCTATATGCGGGTGGAATTTTACGAATCGTAGAGAGTGAGCCGAAAGATCGCCCATATTCAGATCGTCATAGAACTGAATCTTGTAGCAAATAATACCGCACGATGAGAACGCAGGAAATTTTCAAGTTGAGCCGGCAAATGATACCTTGTTGACGAGACATCGATCGATCGATCGCCTTCTGAGATACAGCAGATCAAAGAACTCGAGATTCATTCGTGGACTACAGCCCTAAACCTCGAATACCAGGTTCGGATTATGCAAAATATGGGATTACAGTCGAGAATTTCCCATTTTCAGTCGAGATCCCAATGGAAAGAATCACCACATTTTTACAGAGTATGGATAAAGATAAATAGTTGGCTGTTGCAGACACATTGCACCAGACAGCTCCTCGGATGTTGTTAACATTGGGGCTAGCGATGTAAATGGAACATTTGAAATATCCGGTTACACAAAAGTTGCCCGGCCATCCGGGCATCTCATGAGACACCTGAATACACGAGATATTGAACAGTATTGGTGCCCTCAGAGGTTAGGCTACTAGAGTACGTAGCCTACGTATATGAAGGACAACGTTGAATATACTCGGAAGTAATTAATTAATTAATATGAAACTGTTATAGCAAGCACACGGTACAGTACCTGTGAGACACCTGGGATTCTCACGAAGTTAAGCCACTAGGCAGTATTGCCTTGAAATAAACAGCGATGGTCTATGAGTTATTCGGAGTACCGCCCGCTTCTTGCAAGTCAGCTATACTGCTCGATTTGACTGTACTTCCGAGCGGGACAAGAAAGAACACGGAGAACGAGCTTCGAGCTACGGTCAGTAGCGATTCCTAAAAGTAATGGACCGATGGACGTATCACAGAAATTTGTGGCTAATGGTTTCCATAGACTTCCTACCTTGCCACTTGGATACACGTTGTTGGTAGTCGCCTATATGACACAACGTTTGATATACTTTGATGTAATCAATTAATATGCGACTGCTATAGTAAGTACATGTGAGACGCCTGGGATTCTCACGAAGTTAAGCTACTAGTCAGTTTTGCCTTGAAACAAGCAACCGTCCCCTGTCAATTATTCGCAGATCTGCCCGCTTCTCACAAGTCAGCTATACTGTTCGACTTGACCGTACTTCCAAGCGGGACAAGAAAGAACGAGCTTCGAGACAGTCAGTAACAATTCCTAAAAGCGATGGACCGAGTAACATATAGCACGCCAAGGTCGCTGACAATTGTATTACATTCGTCTTCTACCGAATGACGTTGTCGTTTGTTCGACGACAAAAATTTCTGGCTAATCGTCTTCACGGACTTCGTACTTCGCCACTTACTTGGATACACGTTGACGGTAGTCGGATTTAATATTCCAAAGCAGAAGCCGCATTATGTTATATGTACATATGTGAGAACTGGAAGAAAAGATATCTCATTCCTGGAAGGAGTCGCTTCGAAGTTGTAATATTGTGCGATCAGCAGCTTCTTTACGATTTTTTAGCTATTTTGGCTCTCGTATCTAAGTCTTCAAATATCTCACGTATCTGGTGCATCTCGTGAGTTACCCGGCTGTCCGGGTAACATTTATCTCACAAGTGAAATACATTTGAATAAGTAAATACGACTGAAATTATATCAAAATGTTTGATCAAGAATAAAAAAAGTTGCGCTCGACCGCAACGAACCGTAGAGCTTCCCGATGCGTAGAGGAGAACCTGCGGTAGCGATGAAGACCGGGCAATTAACGAAAGGTTCCTGTTCTGCAATTATCGCATGGTTATGTGCACGATCTTGATTGCCATCGCCATTTTTGGAAATCCAGATGAGGAGAAACAAATATCGACGTGGTAGATGGTTTTTTCGATATATCATCCACCGTATTGAATCGACCATTGTTTCTGAAAATCTGAGTTCGAACTCGTTGTTGCCAGTCGATAAAATCCACGGGAACAATTTCCAACGTTATCGGACTGACGTAAAGTCGAAGCGCGTGGATCGACGAGGTTATAAATTTGGAATTCTTTGATCTCCCATATCTTAGAAGCTAATCGATCGATCGATGTCTGTTCGCGATGTATCGTTTGGCCCAAGATTCAGTCGCGAGATCGTGAGACGTGAAAGATGCGCGAAAAATCCTCTCGCTTCTTAAAAGCTAAGGTACACCGGCGGTAGAGATATTCCGCAATTGCGGGGTGAAACGGCTGAAACGTAAAATTCGAGGGAAAATTCACGGGAACACGGCGCTCCGATGAACGATATATACACGGCGTTTAAAATAAATGCAATTATAGAATATAATAAGCGGGGCCGGTCCGTGTGTTACGTCTGTCGAGTACTCTGCGGCTTGCAGATAGCTTTCTTAGGCACACAACACTACGAACTGGGTCGACGCGGGGATCGATGTGACGTAAATGAACGAAATTCCGCTTGGGACGAGTTATTACATCGCGATGGTGCTCGTTCCTCTTCGTTGAGGTAAGATTGAAAGGAAATCAGAACGAAAGAACGAAGAAAAGGACGGGCAGAAATATAAAAGATCTCTGTCCCGAATGATTTTTTTTCTCTTCTGTTTTACGTTTTCCTCCTTTTATCGTTCCCCGTTTTGGATTCTTACTCTTTTTCCTTTCTTTTCTACATTTTTCAATCTTTCCTTTCCACCTTGAATACGTTTGTGACGCGATAAAAGACGATGTTGACTGAGATGATAGATCGCATGGAAGCGGCTATGAAAACGACACGAGATAAAGACAAGTTACGTCTCTCGGTTTCTTACGAGAGATAACTCTAGAATGCAATGCACGATCGTTCATTATCGTACTGAAATTATTTGGTTTCGAAAAAATACTATAACGATAGAAGTTGTTCGCCTCTCGTCGATAGCAAGTAGCGTGAACGTCAGAAAATCAAAGGTAGACTCGTTGTACTCTTTTCGCCAGTGCTTATTCGCAGGATCATATCATCTTCTGTAGATATTAGGAATTACGAATGAATCGAAAAGTCCGAGTCCGCCCGTTTGCTACAATCTACAGTGAAACTAAACACCAACGACCACAATCACAACCTCGTACTACGAGTACACGAGAACCGAACCACAAAGGACGGAAACGCAATGTAAATCCGGACCCAGCTGTAACATGGCAGAACCACGTAAGGCACGGTGAAGAACTAACGCGTATTTGACGCGCATTAAAGCTGAATTTTCAGAAACGCTCTAAACGTGCAACGTAGATGGGCGAGCTATCGGTATCAGTCGTATCTTGCAGATGATACCTGTAGAAGTACCACAAAATCTCTGTTCGCAGCTGTTGAAAGCTCGGTAACGCGTTTAAAGCGAGCTCGTCCGTGCCGGGTTAGTTGCGCGTGTTCGGCTGCCGGGTCCGAGAGTTAATTCGTCAAACGAAGAAGACAGAGAGACTCCTCGTCCGATTTCAACGTCGGCTTTCCGCCCTACTTCGCGCACGAATCCACTCTCGCGCAGCGTCGTTCAAAAGTGTATCGTTGAATTATTCATGACGCGTGTTCTTTTGGACTACGTTAGCGCCGACCACCGCCCACCTCGCCGAGACTTCTCGTTAAGACGTTTGCACGGTGAATACAAACGCGCGATTCCGGCAGAAAAATAAGCGCTATCATCGAACGCGCACTCGTTTTCCCGCCGCTTCCCTTTGTAAATAAGAACGCAGCTAATGAAACGGGGAAAAAGCAGCAGGGAATTGCCGTCCACTCGTACCAGGGGACACTTACAATACGTTGATTGAATTTCACCAGTCACGCGCCACGCGCTTCTCGGGATAATCCAACATCCAATCCAACATTGTCAGTTCCGCTTCTTTTACGGTATAAAATTCGCGTGACGTTAGCGTCTCTCTGTCGGTACGGAACAATTCACGCGCACCGAATCCTTCCGCGTTGATCCTAATCGCACCGCTTATTGGAACCAGTGGCCGATATTCTCTTTGATATTTCGACCTGCACGCGAGACGCGAAACGGCCGGTCGACGGTGGAATATTACCGACGATCGATCCGCGATTATGCATACGTGACGTTATCCTATCAATCGGGATTCGTCGGTGGTATCAGGCCAGCCACCGGCACCGCCAACGAAGAAGCTCGCGCTAATTCTGCCACGGTTTGCAGACGACGTCCATGCTCTAATACCTGATTACGTATGCGTGCATCCGCGTACACGTTGGTCTACCGGGATTAGACTCTATCCGGACAAACGGCACCGGTCTGTTCCACTCTGGTTTAACATTGAGCCCTTAATCTGTACGTTATACCTCTTATCTGGCCGACTAGGCCACGCGGAATCGGCCGTGCCACATCGAAAATTCGCTACAGCTATTCATTATGGATTATCCGACGCAGCTAATCAGCCAGCCGGAAGACTATATTTCGGCCAGGTTACCCGGACGCACCGGAGGCCGGCTATCAGCCGTACGCCCGGTTAATTAGACATAGTCGATCCGGAGAACTATGATCGTCGATGTTCGTTATACGGCTATAATATTAGATAGTTGATTAGACGGGACGGTGTCGCCAGGCCGCTAGACCGTTTGCTTGGAAGGCAGTTAATTAAGGGACAATCGTTCCGCGGTTATAGCGTTAATTAGCCTGTTCGTGGGCCGCGCAGCGTCCGACGAAGAATCGTCGTCGTTTTAGTTTTACAACTTGCTCTGTCACTCGTCGAATAACTTGCTTAGTTACGAGATAAGTGTCTCGTATAAGCATTAAGGCACAATGAGGGTAATACGAAAGACGTTTTCCATGGAGGATATATGAATTTCTGTTACTTGCGTGTGAACAATCTTGTTCGAGAATAGGGTTAGGACAAATTGGTTTAATTTCAAGTATTTAAGATATAATAATCGTATGGCCTTGACGGTATAAATGTCGTTTAATTCAAAGGGTCCCCTTTTACATTTACCCCGCATAGATCATGCGACGAACAGATCTGTTCTTCGTCGTAAAAAGAAATAAAAAGAAATAAAAGTAAATCGTATTTGGCAAAGACCAATTGAAATTGAGCGAATAGTACGATTAACGCGTGGTTTCCAAGTTCTCTGCAAAATGACTACGAGCCTAAAATGGAGCTGTGACCTGTCACTTGTAATAATTATACAATGCGTTTAATTAATTTTGCATCTTTTTAAGGATCGCTAGATCTGTCCGCACGACTCGTGGCTCAATTAGGTTTCGAGCTTCGTCCGATTTCGACCGCCGATTTTACGATATCGGCACCGATATATTCATCGACGATTCGGTCAGAGAAAACTCAGATCACGTTGGATATGGGACGTCAAATCGTCCACTGGAACGCCGACGGTGATCGAAATTAAATATTCAATCAGTGCTGAATGGAGTATCGAATGAAGCGGAAAGAAGAGAGTCAGAACGATCAGGTGGAGGCAGACAATGCCTTTATGAAATTACGTTAAACGATAGCCGCCATAAAAACGTCAAATCTGTTTCCATGGATCATGTCGCAGGGTAAAATCCATTTCTCTTTCTTCTTCTATTCCATCGTTATCGTCTCTGTAACCTTCCCCTGTCCGGATATCATCGCGCTTCCATCTTGACTTTTATTCGAAGGTAGGAATATCCCTGTTCGAACACGTGCATCGCTTACATCCGTCGATATTCCCTGGATCTTTAATCCCTTTCTGTTTTACGAGAGACCGTGAAGAATTGAAATAAACATTATCGATTGATATATTTATATTCTTGGATATATATATATATATTGGCTTGCTCGGAAAGTAATCTCGTCTCTCGCGTGGAAATGAAAGAGGATTATTTTCTTTTTATAAAAAGAGATAGCTCCGTTCGGTTATGTAAATTTATATCAGCCTCGATTGGCCTTACACGGAGTATGGCGCATATTTGAGGTCGAAATTACCAGAAGCAAATTTAGCATTGGCGTTCGATCAACGCATCCTTTCCATACACGACGCGTAATCATCTGATCAAGCCAGAAGAATACGAAGGAAACGTTCGACTGGAAATTCTATTTCGATTACCTGCGAGTTCTTCGCAAATAACGCGGACGCGTCACAACGGATGTTCGTACGACGATACTAACACTGTCTGTCTGCACCTCGAATGTGTTGGTAATATTACTACCACTGTCCAAATTTGTCCACGTTCAACGATTGAAATAATTTCTGATATATTCCACAGGTCCCTCGAATCTACCGTTCAACGAAACTACTATTCAGCGATAGTGTCGCTAAAATCTGTCATTGATACACTAACGTTGTACCTGAAATGCGTGGATAACGCACCAGATACCCAACGATTACTCGAATCGGAAACGAATAAAAGAGAGAAGGTTACGCGTGGCCGATGCTAAAACGTATTGTCCGTACGAGAACGATTAATTTGGCCAAAGACTAAACTAGCTTCTCATAACCGGTACTATACCTGAAGTATCGTTGGCGGTACGTTCAGCGGCAAACGATGCGAAACCGATGTGGCGCGCGATGAAATTGAAGAAAGACGAGGCGACACGACCGGGAGAGTTGCGGCCGTTGGAAACATAGTAGGAAGAAGAGATTCTGTCGAGAACGAAGCGGAAGAAAGTTGCGACTGGCATGGACGTGGGGTTGGTTTCAATCGGAAATGGGCTTCCAACCAGCCGAATAAACGACAACCGAGTCGTGATAGACGGTGGTGGTGCAATTTAAACTTTCTCGTTCTCGCCGGCTTATGGCTCTTTCGACTCACGAACGAACCGGCCCAAGATAGTGGCTGACAGCTCGGAAGAAAGATGGCAAAAGGCGGCACCGATAATATACCTAAACCTCGGGATTCGCCTTGGAACGATCAAAGTATCGGCAAGATTTTGACAGAGATCCGAATCACGGCGTTTAACATTCGCCGTTACAAAAGGCAGAGAATCGTCGGATCTTTTTCTTCTTTCGTCTCGCTGTATTCGCACTGTTGCATTTAACTGACGCGTAGATTAGCAGCGACGCAGCGATGAACCAACTGCTTGGTCCAACACTGGTCTATCTTGCAGAGACCAACACCCAAAAAGAAAAGAATATCGACGTTTCGCCAGCATTGCAGTCGTAGTGTGTAGTCTTTCGTGGTCTGGATGTTCCGAGATGGTAACGAGAGTGTCGCTCGGATGAGAGTCGCGGGTGAACGATCGACGCGAAGTCGATTTTCAAGCTGGATGATCGGCTAAGGGTACTCTTAATTGGACGGCTGATCAATTAAAACAGGAACGAACGGAAAGTACGCTGTATAGGGTGGAGATGGAAAAACCGGTATCTCGGTTGATGTACTCGAGGTGTCTCGTGATCTCTGTTCCTTTCCTATATTTCTTCGGCAAGTACCCTTTGTTCTTTGCTAAGACAAACGTCTTTTCAAAGAGTATCTTATACCCGGTAGTTGGTTGGTGTTCCGCTACCGCTGACTCTACGTACTTCAGTCCGGTGCACCTCTCTTGTTCCTTGAGCCGTGTACCCAAGCTCCTCTCGGTTTCGCCATAGTGACACTCGAGGCCGTGAACGTCTCAAGACTCGCTCAAGTTTCTCGATTTGTTATCCGTATTGAATTACTTGTCATGGATAGGAGCAAGTTAAAAAGTGGCCTTCTTCGGACCTCCTCGCCAGTGAAAAATGCTTGCAGGATATTTGAGAGCGTCTCTCGAGGAACAAAAAATGTTCCATTTAGCCGAGATGCGATGGGAAATTCGAAGGAAATGAGTGCAGAGACGAGAGTGATGGAAGTTTGGAATAGAGCAAATGCCAAGTATCACAGCATGGTTGTTGGTCATTGTTCTCGTACGTAGCAACAATCCGCTCGTACTGGAGATTTTCTCGATTTCAAGTTGCCTATAAATGCGTGGAAACCGGAGGTCTAGTCGCAAACTACGCAGGCGAAACAGTCAGTGCTTGTTAACGTGGCGAACATGGAATTTTGTTGATTTAATGACGCGGTACGATCGACTATTGTCCTGGCTATCTTCTCCCAGCCCTTAGTATACTGAGAAGACCTCCAAGGACGCCAGTAAACTTTTTACCGATGCTCTTCGACAACCGGTAGAAATACAAAAAGTACCAATTCTTCGTTACTTCGTATTTTTGTCGCAACACTTTTTACGAAACATTTATAAGTCTACCTCTTACCGATAGAATATGTTTGCCATTCTGTAAACAAAATTTAGGATACCTACTATATATGTATATAGATTAGGAGGAATTTATTATTTTTTTATTTATTTATTTATTCTTAGTCCATACTTTTCGGCTTTGGACGACCTCCGGTTTACATCTCTCATAATGCACTTGCATCACATATATTTCTTACTCTAGCTTGTACTAGCTTGTACCTATCTATTGCACCTTCGTTGAATATCTCTATGTACTAACTTATATCTAACGCTTATAACTAAGTGCTCATTCCGTCTTGGCTTTTGCTTCCTTGCTGCCCTCCCCCTTGTCGTTCCTGCCCCTCTTCTGCCATTCTTCTCTTCTCTTCTCTATTATCGCTTCTAGTTTCGCAAACTCCTACTCCAGTCACATTTAGTATTTCTACCGTGTTCCTAGCTCCTCCTGTTATCTCACATTCCTCTACTATATATGTTTCAAGTCCTCCGCGATTAGGAGGAATTGATTTTCTCGAAAATAAAATCTAATCCGAAAAAAGATTCCGCTGTCCGATCACACTCTGTTTTATTTAGCTTTACCGGATAACACTGTGTGTTAGGACTAATAGGGCTGCCAGGTTGAATTTAATTTTCACCGACCAGTTTAAATAATTACTCAAAATTAATCACGGGAACGCAGAAAAGAGCACTTCCTTTTGGGACAAAGCGAACGGAAAATCGACGAGTCTGCAAACGGAACAGAATGCTGCGATGGTCAATATTTGGAATAGAAAAGCGAATTTTACAGAGAGCGATCAAAGCGATCATGAATACTTTGGTACATTTCCAACGAGCGGGGCTCGAAGCGGCACTTTCGTTATATTTAGTTTTATTACAAACATGGACGAATGCCGTTTATGGCGATTGAAAAATACTTGTCTCGAAGAGTATCAAAAAATTAACATCGTGATAGAGCGATTTCCTAATTTACGAGCGAGTTTTCAACTAACAAACAACCATACAATATATTGCAACACTATCTTCAAAATGCTGGAAACACTCGATAATTGCTCGGAATGAGGACTCAAGTTTCGCAACCGTAACATCACCACCACCTGACTGACTCGTCCAAATGAACGTTCGAATGTTCAGCTCAACTCGTTCGAAGTTGTACCGTCTGCGAGTCCTTTTCGATCATCGATGGAATATTTGCGGCAGAAACGGCGCCACAAAAATTCACGTAAGATCGTCATCGTGGAAACGAACTTTCCTCCGCGTCCAGTCTTTTGCCTGTCACCGTAATTGCTAACTAGCCGCAGCCTAATTCGGTACTCGCCGACAAATTCCATACTATAATTTGCTGTTTTGTGGGGATGTTCCACGACAGCAAGTTCAGCCTAACTTTTACAGCAGACCCAGTCGCCGAGGGTAACACGTTCTCTTCTAATGAAAATCGCCACGATCATGCACTCCACTATAGAGCAAATGCACAGACTGGTCAACGAAATAATACTAACACTAGAGAACAAATAATACAAAACAAACAAAATTATGGACATCGAGAAAGCACAAATGTCAAAACAAAATAAATCACAATAGCCTACTTCAATAAAAAAGAAAAGAACGATCGTGCGACGATCGTTAGGTAAGTGACTTACCTACCGACCGATTCATTTTCAACTTTTCATCCTCGAGATGGCAGCAGTCCTTGCTTCTATCAGCCCGAGTAACTGACCCTGATGATGGAATACTCGATGAATCGCGCTTGCATGAAATATCCATCGAACGCGCGCGAGATCGGTTAATTAGGTTCAGTTGGAAATTCATGAAATTCCTAATTATCGGCTGGACGATACATCCGCGCGAGATGTACCCGTTTCCGCGTAACTCGACGCTCAAACACTGGCGATTACGTTAAAAACAACCTTTGTCTCGCTTCAAACGATCGTTCCAAACAACTTGGTTTCAAGTTTCAGTCAGACGTACGTACACTTGCCCATACCAGCCAATTTCCTTCCACTTAACCGAGCGGATTGAGCAAAACTTGGCTGGCGCTGCGGACAGCTACGTACGCGGCACAGAGCCACAAAGGAAAGGACCGAGCTCTGCCGTCTCTTTGTTCCAACAAGTCCTGATAATTGTACAGTCGTATCTTTGGTCCTTCTCCTTCTGATGATAAAATCGGGAATTGTTGCTGCATCTATACAGGGGTCCGGCCAAACTTTAGTACCTTGAATGTGTCGTACATGGATAAGCGATATGGTTGTATTTTGTTAAGTATTTTATTGTACACGCTTACTGAACACGATGGTACGCAAGCGTTTCAAAGAAGAGCGTTCAGAGTGCTGGGATGGAGAAATTTTCCGACGAGTAACGTTTTGAAAAACGTTGGAATATGCGAATCGCTCGTTGAATCAGGCTTGTAAATAAGTCAAAGAAATTGCAAACGTATTCCCGTAAACGTGAGCAAATGATAAGTTTGAGGCATCTTGCTATTTTGTCGACTGTCCTCTCGTATTAAACGGCAGATCTCTTCTCATAGGAGATCAACAAGGTAAAAAAGAAAGCGAGGGAATCGAGGAAACGTTCTCGCAAACGAATCTAGATAATCCCGGAGCTGAGAAGCTCGGGACAAATAGACGAAAGAACACGTATCGTTGGACATTAAGCGTTACGTTTAATAAGGTACAAAAGCGTGTTTATACGACGCGTAAATCATCTGCGCTGCATTTGCCGGGCAATTCGTTGCCGCGTTAACCGTAGTATTCATATATTCCGCATCTGTAGTCGCGCGCTCATGTAAATTACATAAAGCTTTCGGGGTGCAGTGTCGCGAACGAACAAGTTTTGCATCGTTGTTTGCTACATCGAACCGAGTTCACGCTACGAGCAGAATATGTCACTTTGAGGACATTATGCTCCGAGGAAGTTACCGATTGAATTCAAATTGCCACCGGCCATAAATCAGCCACCAGAGCGAAGCTTTTCTTAAAAAATCTCTGTTTTTCAGACAATATATAAGAAGCTCTAAAAGCGAATTCACAGTCCCATTTATAGCGTGCAATGCACATTCGCAAAATGACAAATTCGTCGGGTTTTGCTTTGGCGTTTATGGCAACGATTGAACAAAGAACGACGGGTATCTACCCTCGGCGTCGCAGTCACGCAGATCAGAGCTTTGGAAGGGAGTCGTAGAACCCAGGCAATTGAGATCCACACCATGCGGATGAGGGTTCAATTTATGGCACTCCGAAGCGTTGACGACTGCTTTTCCTTTCCATGGCCGAAAGTGACGAAGGGCCAGACGGTCGTCCCGGATGATCGAACTTGGCCTTCTCTTACAAATATTTTGTAGCTTTCAAGATGCACTTCTGCATGTATCGTTGTCTTATACGGAAAGAGTAGATTTAAATAATATCCAATTTGTACAATGTTAAATAGATATAAATCGATGGATGTAAATAAATAATGATATTATAAATAAATAAATAACAAATAATAATAAAATAAATAAATAAATAATAAAGCCAAGAGGAACGTTGCCCGATGTAAAGGGAGACACAGCGCGACCTGAAACGCTCAGTTTCAGGCCCCTTCCGAAGAAATGGACTCCAAAACGTTGCGTTAGCGCAGAATGCAAGTGGAAATTGCAAGTAAAATGGCTCCCGGATGACCAATCTCGCGTTATCTCGCCATCGTGAGACTCGGAGATCTGAAACGTGCACTTGCGTCGTTACCTCTCCCCTGGACAGGTCGTCCGGTCGTCAAAATATCATTTTCCACTGAAAGGGGAATCGCCTTTTATCCTCCTGCCACTTACATCGTTTACCGTTTCAACCGTGCAATTAGAACGATCGTGGAAGGTGGTGAAACGTGACGTCGCGTGGCAATCGATATTTCCGGTTGCAGCGTTCCCGAGTCGGTTGAACGCCGCTGTTGGCGCGTTCCGCGAGCCTCTTTGAATTCGGTGCAGTCGGTTTTTACGAGCGCGCAGCGCTCGCAAAACGGCTCTCGGCTACGAAGACCACGGACCACCGATGCCAGGAAGCACGTATCGGTCGTTAGTCCTCGCAACTCGCAGCGCTTTTATTCCGCAGCGGACGCGGAACGATGGACATTAAAATGCCAGCCGGGTGAAAAAAAATCGTACTTTCGGGGAAATTCGAATCCGAGCGAATGGCGCGACCGACGAAAAGGCTGCACGAAGAGAAAGCTTTTAAATTACACGCTCTGGTCGTTAAATAGCTTTTTATGGAAGCCTCGGGACGAGCCTGTTAGAAGATAACCTCCGTTTTCTAAATCTCGTCCTTTCTTTTTCTTTTAATGATACCCAAAGCAGGCAAGGACCCACACGAAACCAAATCCTACTGACCAATCTCTAGATACTCTAGATACACTACTTCCGGTGTTCTCTAACATACTAGAGAAAATAATTTACGACCGGACAAAACCCATAATAGAGAAGAATCAACTAATGCCAGATCACAAATTCGGATTCAGAAACAAACACTGCACAATAGAACGAACGCACAGGCTCGTCAATGAAATCTTACAGGGGCTGGAAACAAAACAATACTGCACTCTACTCTTTACTGCTACTCTTTATGCGAAAAAAGCGTATTTCTTATCAGCCTGCGTTTTTTTGAAAATCGCGACAAAATATCGTTGCAAATATCGCTACATGAATGCCACGTTTTTTTTTTTTTTTTGGAAGAGGGGAAGTACGTAATTTGAAAAAGCTGTACTCGTGAGGAAATGGACGTTTCTCTTTATTCTAACAGAGACCTGGAATGGCCAGACCTCTCTATGAAATACGCTAGTTTCTGTAACCGCACCAATACACTCAACTGTACACACCACTAGATTAAATGTTCCTGGAGGAACAGCATCGCCTCTGGATGCTGTGGTGGCTAGAAATGTAAGGCTACCAACGAAACGCGATTTTTATTAACACATTTCCTACCGGAAAAATATTTTATGATGCTGCCTTTACGTCTCTTAGGACCTATACTACACCTCGTTTTATGGCAGCCAACAATTTTCATCAAGACAAGGACAAGGTTTACGGAAGGATGGACCGGATCGTGTCTAACCTTTTTCCGTCTTTTACTACGGTTCCTGGTCATCAAATTAGAAGTGGAGGGATCACGGAAACGGAGCAAATCGTGTTTATCTTTGTTCCGACACCAATTACGATTTCTCATCGTCAAATTGGAAATGATTTACAGGAATAGGGTGAATCGCGTCTACCTTCGATTAGGCAAAGCGAGTTCTGCCCGAGCAGTCGAGCTATGCGGACGTGAAAATTAGTGCCTCCGTAAGTACGAAAAGAGTGAAAGAAAAGAGACGTGCAACAGAACCAATCGATGATAAAAAACATCCAAAAATACCAACAATAAAAATATTAAACAAAGGAGAAACATACGCCATAAACAGGGCGGTAGACCAACAGAGCCCAATGCTATTCTTTCTCTGTATCTTCTTGCACTTCTGTTAATCTTCTCCTTGACCGTTGGTATTCCCAGGTCTTTCCGAATGTCCTCGTTTCTAACGTACCATGGCGCGTTTGCTATTGTTCTGAGTATTTTAGATCGCATTGCCTCTATTTTGGTTATATGGCTCATTGCTGCTGTTCCCCATAGTGCTATTCCGTATGTCCAGATTGGTTTTATGACCATTTTATATATTTTTAGTTTGTTTTCTACGTTTAGTTTGGATTTTCGACTTGTTAGCCAGTACATTTGTCCCCTTGCCATCTGTATTTTCACGATGATTGTTATATTAGTATACCGCTATAATATTTTACCAAATGTCCTACTGGACAAATTGTAAAATCCAAATAAATAAATAAATAAATAAAAAGAAATCTGTATTTTGTCTGTTGTTGCCAAATAAACCAACAAATGAAGTACAAGATTGCTCAACTTACAAACGAAATAGCGATGGATGTTATAAAAAAAGACGACGAAAAGAATAATATTAACAATGATCTACCACAACATAACGAACAAGAACAAGAATTAGGACGTCTACCTTTGATCTGACTCCAATTACAATTTCTCATCGTCAAATTGAAAACGATTCGCGGAAATTAGTCTAATCGCGTCTACCTTCGTTCCCGTTCTAAACGTACTTGCTGATCATCAAATTAGAAATGTTTCGCACAACTCTTGGCCATGAGATTAGAACTACCCGTAGAAAGTATCAAAGCTCTTAAGAATTGCTGATTTGGAAAAATTCGTTGATTCTGTAGCCTTGGTTTCGTCGTTTGGCATCGATCCACGCGATGATCGGTCGCAGATTTTTCACTGCGTGGTGAAAATTAAATATTTCTTTCGCCTATGTACGTCGATCACGTTCCTCGATCATTGGATCAGTTTTCCTAAATCGATGGATCTATCGAAAGGAAATATCCTTAGCTACGTAAAACTATAAAGTCGTATAGACGTCCAAAGTCTACGGTTACGATAAAAATTTGCATAATAGATTCGCGATTATGCTGCTTAATAAACAGTTACGGAAAACAACAGTGAAATCGCATTTGAAATGGCATTTTTTACCATTTCCTCTACGAAACCTAATTTGCTTTACAAATGGCACGTACATACACAGACGCCGCGCGATATTTGTCTTTTCTTTCATTTCGCTTTTCATAAATCCGTGTCGTAGAAACGTCAACACGGTAGGAACCGGCGAACGCGTAGAAAGCATTCCCAAAAATATTTTGGAACGTGACAAGTATTTTTATCCAGGAAGAATTTGCGGAATTTGCGATAATCGTCGCTTGTCATCCACTTGTTTAATTTTCATAAATTATCGTTCGCCTGTATATGAGTGTTCGCGCGTACGCATGTCAAACGTAGCCGATAGAAGATTTTTCCAAGTGAAACGTTCCAATTTCTCCAATTTCTATTAGAAACGTATTAATAACAACAATTGCATAGATCACGTGGGCGTAAATAATTTAATGGCAATATAAAATATAGATAGAAGATAAACGGAATTCGCTAGATGTACGTAAACTTTCGTGATTAACTGTGGAATAAGTTGATCAAACGCATACATTTCTCCGGCATATTTTTCCATTTGGACGTCGCTAATTAATTCAAACATCAAACGCCAGTTTCGGGCAAACACCGCGAAATATCCGTGCGTGAAATTTTCAGTTAATTCCGGTTCTCGTTCGTGCTGAAAACGTGTCCGTGTAGCTATTGTGACCGAATATACAAATACTTTTTAACCAACATTCTCGTTATAAAAGCGGCCGGTTGAACAGTGGAACGTATGGTTTAAAAATGAAATAAAGCGATCAAACAGGCGAGGTACCCGGTAACGGATATCGCGGCTTTCGGGATTTTTCATGCGATTCGGTTAAAAAATGTTTCAGCAAAAGACACGAGAGCGTGTTTCATTTTTCAAAATTCGTTTTTCACAGACCAGTAAGTTTGGATTATTTTCTCGTCGGTCGAATTATGCCCATGCATCGAGCCATCTACGACGCCAACGTTCCACGATGATCGAATCAGATTCGACAAGATATAGAAACCGTAACCTGAACCATCGAAATAATCTGCTCAACGATTTATCAAGCCAGCACGCTGGAACAAGACTCGAGAGGACTTGGCCGAACGATCTCTCGAGATAAGCTCGGTTAAACCATCGATGGATGGATGGTTTCCGACTCGAGTCACCCAACACCTAGCAAATTTACTCATTGATTCGCACTGATGACGAACAGTAGTCCGGTGATGTAATGTTCAAACATTGCCAGTGTCTTGTAGTATGAGTACGGATGAAACTGAAATGTAGTGTGGCGAATAGAGGGAAAAATATATCGCGAATGAACATTAATAAATCATGCGCGTATTCGAAGCGGAAAAGGCCATCCGTTAATGGGAAACGTTGATAGAACGTTTTCGTCGCGTCGATATGACGTACCGTATGTTTACTCGAACGCTCGATTCTATTAAACGGCGTAGAGGAAAGGTCGTTTCGTTTCAGTCTCGTTCTGCTTTCGTTCGAAGCAAGAGTTGCCGAATTTTCACAGCGTCGCGTCTATTTGCGGCAATAATTACGAATTTACGAATATGCGGATACGCGTTTCGTTGGCGGAAGTTCTAGAAACGCGTGCGATTAACGAATATCCTATAAATAATTGTACAAGTTTATGGGGATATAATACTCGATAGTTAGTGGAGAGAAAGAGAGAAGTTTGCATTAACAAAGGCGACCGACACTTGGAAATACAGGCGTAATTATGTGTAATTATTTTACGTTTCATGTTTTTGCTATGACTTTTTAACCAACCATTTGCCAACATTTTGCTACATGATTGTTAGTCTAATCGTTGCCCTATAGAACACACTGGCAAAGTTCGCACACTGTGTATAGTTTGCACACGTGTAATATTTAGAATAGGATTATTACGTTTAAAAATTTCGCATTATACAGTAAAGAAATTCTCAGCAAAGGATTAATTGATCGAACGAATAGGATTTCGTTTAATTCTTGTCGATATAATAAAGTAGAGTAATTGGCAATTATCGATAAAATTGTAGATAACTAATATGTTAATTAGTGATTGACATTGTACGATTTCATACTTCTTATCTTATATTATTCTACATTACTATGGATATATTAATCGAGTATCACGCTTGTTAATAGCACAGTACCGAAAAGTGACGCGATATAACAGACTCGCGACTTGTAATAATCGCGATGCTTTTTTTTTCTAATTGTAGCGAAGCTGGATGGCGTGAAAACGTACATGAGAATGAGAAGAGTGCCGAAGCATCTACAGGTGAAGGTGATCAAATGGTTCGACTATCTTTGGTTGACGCAGAAATGCTCGGACGAAGAAAAAGCTGTCAGCTGTCTTCCAGGTAAGCGTTTTCCACTCCTCCGTTTGAAACGTTCGTCTCTTTGTCTAATAGCAAGTCAGAATATATCATTTATTTACTTGTACTAGAAATTTATAGTTCTTGAGTTATTGCTGCAAAAGAAGCAGCTATTTCTTGTACATCGTTCCACTGGCAAAGTTGTCGTACAAACAAAATGACGATGAAAGATGAAGATTTTTTTTTTTGTCAAAGATGAAGATAACGTGAAAGATTCGTTCGAACGTACAAACTCGTTTCCTCTAAAATAGTGAATATAAAAATCGTCGAACAAAAATTCATTTTTATTTAAAGGAGAGCCAGTTATATCGGTAAGTCGCATAGCAATTTCTCAGAAAATCAAATGACTAAGAGAAGTATTGGTCTTTTTGATCTACTACGAACGGGTTAATTTTGGTTATGGTATCGCGTTTATCGCAAGCTAAAATATTCACCGACGTCCTATTGGCGATTTGACGCGTTCGCGCATCGACGAAGGTTGCTAGAAAGTGCATCAATTTGCTCGTGTAATTTTTTCCACGGCATTTAGCATCGCACGATTCGCTTTTCCTCTTCGGTAATTCCTCCTCTTCCTTGTTTCTTCTCGTACGTACACGTGAATCGCGTATCGAGGTTTATTCCACTGGATTTACCTTAGTCATAGCTGCAGCAATCTTATTTCATCCCGCAGTAATATGACGCACGTAGAAATCTTCCATCGTGATTCTCATTTAGCCAGAATGATGGACGTCGCTGGGAACATATTTCTGCGGGATAGTTCGTTAAATCTGCCGCCGAATCTCCATCCCGTAAATATTTTTGAAGCATTAAAGCACACCGGCTGTAGCCAAATAACATGCGCATGGCCAGTACGTGGTGATTTCTCGTGAAAAAATAAGAAGAAAACATGGAATAGAACTTGTTTTCGACGTAATCGAGTTGCAGGATGTACAGGCTATATTTCCAGGCTACTGTGATCGTAAAATTTCTAATCAGAATATTATCCGAAGTAAAAAGAAAATCCGAAATCATCCTTAATATAGCTTTTCTGGCGTCTCTCTTAAGCTAAGCGTGACGCTGACGGACAATTGTCCGCAGCCAATCGGCATCCGTCTTTCGTGCAAGACCCGCAGATTTCGCGGAAGATTCGCAAAAAGGCAGATCCGCAGGTGATTGGCTGCGACACGTGGTTGCGGACAATTTACCGCCAGCGTTAAACTCGGCTTTATAGTCTGTCCGTTCGCGAAGAAATAAATCGTCCAAGCCGAATTTATCAGCGAGGAGACCTTAAGATCTCGCGGCAAAGAAGCTGAACAAACGAAAGCTGAAAAGTCGCCGTCGTTAAATTAATCCCCTTGGAACGTTGCAGACAAGCTGAAGGCCGAAATTGCGATAAACGTGCACCTGGACACGCTACGGAGGGTGGAGATCTTCCAGAACACGGAGGCTGGCTTCCTGTGCGAGCTCGTACTAAGACTGCGACCAGTTCTTTTCTCACCTGGCGACTATATCTGTCGCAAAGGTACGCGTAATCTTCTCATTTTTTTTTTCTTTTCTTACTCAGTTACTGGAATCGCCTGCAATGTCCAGTGCTCGTAGTGCGGTGTATCCATCGCCACTGCAGAATAACATAGACATGGACCGATTTCCAATCAAACCGCTGCACTGTAATCGCTTAATCATAGATGTTATTAGATTTATGCTCTTGGGATGTTGCGTTTAGGTCAATCTGTTTATCAAGTCAACGGCGTGTTTTTTTCTTTTCTTTTCTTTTTTTAAGTTCGACTGGCCTCTATTGATTTATTTGATCGGATTAGTTAAGAGGCCAGTGTGGGTTTTCACGAGACGTAAATCGCTTTCAAGTAGCTTTTGCCGAAGTTCGTGATTTCTTTTCTGATCGTAAATATTTCAACGCCATTGTGAAATATTTTCTTTGACATGTACCACGATACGTTGCATATAGTCCACAGGGCGTATAACTATTTCTCACTTGCAATTTCTTCCTTCCTTTCATCCTCTGCTCTCTCCTCGTTCTTCTTGCTTGCTTGCTTGCTTGCTTCCTTCCTTCCTTCCTTCCTTTTACACATCGCCACACGTTTTTCCTGACCGGGATTCTCTTGGAACGAACAACTGGAACCACGCCAAAATATGTACCCTAGCTGGCAGAAGTTTCAGAAGCGATTGCCTACCCTCTCCACTTGGCCTGGTTGCCAATAGCGTACCCAGAAGGCGCAGTTATGAACGAAATACTTTATTCCGAGAAATAGCTAACCGTGTCGCGGATCGAGAGAATCATCCGCGTCGGATGACTGCAGCTTGCTGCGAAAATTCTCTCCCGCCTCGCGCGCAATCTTATCTTCTCCAGCGTTCCTCGGCAACCGCAGGTTCGTTCAAAGAAGAAACGTCGTGTGTTTGATAATGGGGCGCGATTATTTTCCCCTTGCTCGAACCTTTTCTTTGTTCTCTTTTCTTTTTACGCGGGCAAATCCTCGTGGACACTCCGCCGCTCTTCAGCGAAGCGAAGAAACTTTTCGAGAAATCTTCCTATCGCGGTCAGTAGCCAGGTCGAGGTCGATCGACTTTCGCGTGAAACACCTTCCCGCGAGATTATTGGAAATGCCAGAAAAGTGGCGAATCCTCTCTTAGACTGTGCACCGCGTACATCTTCGAAATTGTTGGACCACTTTCTATCGTCCTGCGAGTGGCTACGATATTCTACGAAATAAAATGCAAGAAACGTGTAGTTGGTGATGAAAATCTTGGACCCGTCAAGCCACTCCGCAACACCGACAAACCTTTGAACAGAGCGAAAAGATTTGTTGCCGAAGGCAAGTGAATAAAATCGTCGATTTAATTAAAGGCAACCGAGCGTGGAATAGTTTTCGTTGGATACGTCAGCGATCGGTCAGTATTTCTTCGATGGGTCGCGCGAACGAACGTGACCAGCCAGCCAAATAATTTTCTCTTCCCCTGGGAGAGCAGAGAATGAGAAACGAAAGCGAAGGACAAGAACACAGCCAGTGGACGGAGACAGACAGTGCGTGCGTGTGTGTGTGTGTGTGTATGTATGTGTGTAAGCGAGGTGATCGTCTTCTCTCTAGCCTCTTCATCGCCGCGGAAACGACCGTCGCATGACCGTTGGTACGCGACTACAGCCGTTTTCTAGCGCCCTGGATGCTTCTGTTTGATGGCCGACTATACGTCGAGTGAATCACTGCTGCTGCGGCGCAGTTGGCGACTTCAGCCTGACTTATGGCTTACCCGTTACTACTTTAACTACACTAACGTCGTCTTTACCGTGGCTTTCTCCAAACTAATCGCTTTCTCTC